CAATGATGATTTACGCGATATAGTATAAAATGTCTTTTATTGATCAATGAATATTATTACAAAGAGTCAATTCTACAATAATTGATTGGCTCTAGGGCATATACTCTAACAATTGATTCTTATGATTTATATTCATAGGGTTTGAGAGAAAGAGGGTTGTATCAAGGAAGACTACTAAAGTGTTGGGTTGCTCACATCTAAGGTAAGTAAATCCAACCTTAGTCATGATTGGAGCAATATTGTGTAGAGAATTTCTTTTATGCATGTATGTGTTTTTATGATAATTGTTGATGGAATTGATGTTAAGTGATGGTTAGAATTCCACCATGAGAAGTGGTGTTTGTATATGTGGTGTCTGATGATAGTTTGATCGGCAAGAAAGAATAGAAAGAATAGAAAGAAAGAAAGAAAGAAAAGAAAGAAAGAAAGAAAGAAAGAAATGAAAGAATAGAAAGAATAGAAAGAAAGAAAGACTAGAAAAGAATAAAAGAAAGAAATACAGAGAAAAGAAACAAAAAAACAGAAAAGAAAATGCACATCCTATGCATGATACCATTTCCACTATCCCGAGTAGTGAGAAACTAGAGTTATAGAAAGAGCAGAGAAGAATAGAGAAGTTTGATGTAAGGAAGGAAAATCAGAATTAGGGTAACATAGATAGCAGGGTAGCATAGCAGGTTTACTTATTGAGCAATTAATGCTCACCCCGTTGTTTCCAATGTTTTTGCAGGTAGTAGATGAGATATGGTCAAATGAAGAGTCAAGAAGCAAAAGGGTCTGGCAAACACTATCGAGTTTATTGTTTTTGAGTAATTTTGTTACTTAATGTACAGTTTTGTATATAAAGAAAAATTAGTATGGGCCCTCTATTTTATCCTCATCTACATGTATATTGTCTTATATATATATATATTTAGTGAGTTTAACTGACTGTATATTTCACAAGTATACTAGCTAGAGAAAGAGAAGCATTACAAGAAGAAAAAGTAAAGAAAGTTAAACGGGATGTGAAATGAAGTTGTACAGCTGTCCCTTCAGTTTTATGGACGAAGCCTAACAAATAGAGACAAGTGGCAACCTCCCGTTGGTTATGAGACAGAGCGACCCTTTGTTTTCTGATCCAAACGAAGAAAAAAAAATCTCCACCGCACACGTGGAGTAAATCCACGCACACTTAGAAATCGCGATCCCACGTACACGGCACGCTTAATCACGTGGTCGACCCGACCGAGTTGGCGTGTTCAAGCATACCAATTGTGCGCAGCCAAACCAACGCATTCTAGCACTTCAACCATCCAGGACGCCCGCTCGATTGAGTAGTGAGACTAGAACTGTTAACCCCGCATTTGGGCCCCGAGACAAGCATCGCCAAAAGTTAGAGCATTAAGCTACTCAGTCATCATGGACAGACGAACCAGTCACGATTGGGAAGTGAGCACACACACACCCATTCACTCGGATTCAACCAATCAGCCTAAGGCACCACCACCAAGTTCAGCCTAACGTATTCCGCTCGACAAGAACTACCGAGTAAGCACACCTTTAAGGGATAGCTCACACACCCACTCACCTGGCTCGTTACACCGACTGAAGACATCTTCATGAGATAGCCCACGCATCCACTCGCTTGGACCATTACACTGACTAAGGACACCTTCATGGGACAACCCACACGCCCGACCATTTGTCTTGATACATCAACTGAGAACACCTTCAGGGGAGGTTTCGCTTACTTTCCCGCTCAGGAGGACATACCGAGTGAGGACATGTTGAGTTGATTCTTCATGCTCCCCCTCGACCTGGCATACCAGGCCATTCTAATAAGATTAGCTCCACTCCCCCACTTGGTCAGATGCACCAAGCATGTTCGTGACTGCTTGACCTCCATCCACCCGGTATGGCATACCGAACGATGCACCGACAACAAAAGCTATACTATTCGTTCCTAGGAACGGAGAGGTAACACGTTCACAAGTTCTGCTGGTCGGTCATGAAGGTTGACCAAATACACCTCCATACAATGCTACTCTCTAAGTTAAGCACTCCTTAACTCAGAGAGTGGGGGGCAAACTGGTAGGGCCAAAAAATGTCCTTGGCCCAAATAGGTCAAAAAATGAAGACACCTTTAACAAAGCCAGAAGCTCAGGCCCAATTCCGATTGGGAACATAACAGAGTTCTGCATATGAGGCCCGTTCGGTATGTTTTCCCAGTTTCTCACCTTCTATACTTACGATCAACTTAGAGCCCACGGTCGCCTACGAACTATAGTACTACTTGAACTCTACTAAAGAAGTCAATCACGATCTTGATTCATCTAAGGTCCGTATTCTAGGCATGCTGGGACTCCCTTTCCTACTGAGATAAGGGAGCCAAAGGCTCCACTCTTTCAGAAAACCACTGCTGCAAGGACTCTTAGTCCCACCAAGATTCAAAGACCCTACAGTCACTATTTAAACAGAGGTCAGCCCTCTCACAAAGGACAGAGACATTACACCTTCAAACCCTGGAGTTCCCACTCTTGAGAACTTCGCATTACAACCGCAATCAGAGTCTCCGACTAGACTTCCGGTAACCTTTCCTCTCCCTAACCCTTACTAAACTAGCCTCATTCAGTCTTGCTGACTTGGGCGTCAGAGTGTCTATGGCAAACACCACCTCGGTGTTTTCTGTCTGCTTCATACTTGTTTTCTTACGTGTGTAGGTGTAGCAGATCGCTAGTGGCCTCAACCTCACGGGATCAATCCCTATTTCCGTAAAGGTAGATTTTTGCATCTACAGATACCACCTGCGATTATTGAAAACAGGAATTTGACCCCCATTTCGCTAATAATTGTTAATGAAAATTGAACTATTAATATAACGTTTTTACCCTTTAGCTAAAATATCATAAAATTACCTTGAAATATTTAAATTTAATTATATGAAAAAAAAATATTATAAATTTTTTTTTTCACCTCACTTCTGTAAAACCTTATAAGGCAAATATTTCTAGAGAGAGGGTGAATAGGAATCTATAAAAATAATCGCAAAATAAAGACTATCAACAACACCAATGAACACCAATGATTTTAACTAATCAATGACAATAAATAAACTCAACAAACAATGAATGACAATGTTAATGATCAATAAAGATAAGCAATGGAGAGCAATAAATGAGAATGATGTTAAACAATAAGGATAAACAATATGGAGCAATAAATGAGTGAGTGTTATAAATATGAGCAATGAATAAGAGCAAGTGATAATGATGAACAATGAGTGTGTTTTGAGTGTTTGAGTGTTATAAATATGACCAATGAATACTCCAATCTACTCGATCAAAACATAATTTGAGTGTTTTTAGGGTTGTTTTGATGTTAGTTTAGTTAACTTCTCATATGTTTCCATTGTTTTGATGTTTGTTTTTGTTAAGTTTGAGATATGAATGGTTATCTATTGATTTGGATAACTTTTGTGTTTTTTAGGCTTTGATTGAGTATATTGGAGTATTGGAATGAAATTGGGACTTAAAGCTTGAAGAAGTTGAGATAACCTAACATTCGTGAAGGCCATGACCATGCCTTGGTAGTTCACCATGACCATGGTGGTGGAACAAAGAAAAAACAAGGAGACCAAGAAGCACCATGACCTAGGCTGTGGTGACTTAAATTTTGCCATGGCTAGGGTTGTAGCGGAAACTATTAGGGCGTTTTTATCGGTTTTTCTTTCCTTTTTCAGTTAGGACTCTTTTGGGTATTTATGTATAATTGAGATCAGTTGTCATGGGATGAATTTTGTATATTTTTGAGAGGAGAAGATGCATTTTTGAGGCTTGAAGACTGAAGATTAGATTTAAGAGTTTGATTTTTGTTTCTTTTCAAGTCTAAATATGTTTTCCTTCTTCTCTACTTATTCCTTTGTTCTTAGGATGGGGTGAATCTCTTTTGTTAGGCGAGGATGGAACCCTAATTATGTTTTGAACAATTTTTATTCTGAATACCAGATTTATGTTTATGAATTTGTGCAAAAGTATAGGTTTAATGCTTTATGAATGTTGGATTGATTCAATTACCTTGATGATGTTTCGAATAGAGAAGTTAGGGTTTACTGCTTAATTCATATTCATAATAGTTTTATGGGCATAACATTGCACAACATATTAAAACTAGAAGTAATCGAATAGAGATTCTAGGATTAATTTGTGGTCCATCCAATTCATAACCGAATAGGGCAAATTAGTCAGAAGGGATTGATGAATTTATGCTTCTTAATTTCAGCGTAACTGGATAGGGATCTGTATTAAGTTGAATATTATGCTTGAATAAGGATAATTGGCCTAGAAGAATCCTACCAATTCAGAGCACAAATGGGCATTAAGAGTAGTTGTCAAGCATAATTAGGGGGAAATCTGTACCCTAACTTCATTAATATTGCGAAGTTCTTCACATTATTTATTTGTTTAATTTAGTTATTTTTAATCTATTACTTTTGCACTCTAAGATTTCGTTTTCTCAAATAACGTGTAGTTAGTTTTAGGTAATTACAAATATTCGCTTTGATCTTTGTGGGACGATACTCAAACTCATCACTTTATTACTTGAACACGACTAGTGCACTTACTAGAGTTGATTTAGTCGCATCAAGTTTTTGGAGTCGTTGCTGGGGATCATCAGATTGTTTGTGATTATTTTAAGATTACTTGTTACTTTGAGATTATTTTTTTATTTTGTTTTTTTTTTTATTTGAAACCAATAGGTGTTTCTGCTCGTGTATGACCAGAGCTTCTAGAAAGAGTTTACTAGCATTTGATCCTGAGATAGAGCGCGCTTTTCATGCAAGAAAGAGAGCAATCAAAAAGGAGATCATGGGTGATCACGATAACCAAAATGATGGGACACCACCAGTAACTCGTACATTGAATAAGTACTCTACCCCATCTCTAAATGGAGCAACATCGAGCATTCGACGACCAGTGATCAATGCCAACACCTTTGAGATAAAGCCAGCAATCATCTAGATGATTCAGCAGTCAGTGCAGTTTAGTGGTTTGGCACATGAAGATCCCAACTTACATATTGCAAATTTCCTAGAGATTTGTGATACTTTTGAGCACAGTGGAGTTTCTGATGAAGCTATAAGACTAAGATTGTTCCCATTTTCATTAAGAGACAAAGCTAAAGTTAGTTGACCTCATTACCAGCAGGCTCGATTACAACCTGGGAGCAAATGACAAAAAAATTCCTAAGTAGGTATTTTCCTCCTACAAAGACTGCACAATTGTGTAATGATATTACTATGTTAGTGCAGGTGGATACAGAGTCACTATACGAAGCATGGGAAAGGTTCAAGGACATGCTCCAGAGATGTCCCCACCATGAATTGCCGGTTTGGCTATAAGTCTAGACATTCTATAATGGTCTTAATAGTGAAGTTCGAAATATGATCAATGCTGCTGCAGGTGGTACTTTATGTAAGAAGACACCAAAACAAGCTTATGAATTGATGGAGGAAATGGCTTCAAACTCTTATCAATGGCCGATAGAGAGGTTGCCTGTGAGAAGAAAGTTAGGTGTTCATAACATAGATGCTATCACGACTTTGGCAGCACAAATGCAAGCGTTAAATAAGATTGATGGACTTCAAATGCAAAAACCTGCAATAGTTGCTTCTATGTGTGATTTTTGTGCCAAAGATCACTCTAACCATGAGTGTCAATCAGGTAACATGATTACTATTAATTCTATGCCTGATCAAGCTAACTATGTTTCAAATTTTCACAAGCCTAATAATAATTCACATAGTGCAACATATAAACTGGGGTGGAGGAGTCACCCAAATTTCTCTTGGAGTAACAACAATCAAGTGAAACCTCCACCACTAGGTTTTCAATCTCAAGAGAAGAAAACAAATTTAGAGGAGATGATGGCGAAGTTCTTGAGTACTACAGAGACAATAATTTAGAATCAAGAGGCTTCCATCAAGAATTTAGAAGCTCAAATTGGCCAGTTGGCCAATATCATTTCGGGTAGACAACAAGGGCATTTACCGAGTGACATGGAAAGGAACCCGAAGGAACAATGTAAGGCCATAACCTTGAGAGATGGAAAGGTGATTGGTGAAGAAGAATCACTAAAGAAGGCGGAAAGTGAAGCAGAGTTACCAATCTCTATTGAAGAAAAGAAAGCGAATTCAGAGAAAGAGACAGAGACTAAGGTAAAGGAAATTGCAAGCGGTAAAGGAAAAGATACGTCCAATTATGATTTTGTTGTTGTTGAAAAAGATGTATCTAAATTTCTTTATCCTGATAGAATTAGAAAGAATAAACTAGATCAACAATTTTCAAAGTTTTTAGAGGTCTTTAAGAAATTGCAAATTAATATTCCATTTGCTGAAGCTTTAGCACAGAGGCCTAGTTATGCAAAGTTCCTAAAAGACATCCTTTCTAACAAGCGGAAGATCGAGGAGCATGGGACAATTATGCTCACTGAAGAATGCAGTGCCATACTGCAAAATAAATTACCTCCTAAACTGAGAGATCCAAGGAGTTTTACTATACCTTGTGCATTAGGAGATTCATTCTTTGATAAAGCATTGTGTGATTTAGGTGCTAGTATTAATTTAATGCCTTTATCAATTTTCAGGAAGCCAGGACTTAGAGAAGTGAAAGAGACGAACATGTCGCTACAGCTTGCTGATAGATCAATCAAATGACCTAAAGGCATTGTTGAAGACATTTTGTTAAAGGTCGACATATTTATCTTTTCAACGGACTTCGTAGTTCTTGATATGGAGGAGGACCGGGAGGTGCCTCTAATTTTGGGACGTCCATTTTTTGCGATAGCTCGTGCTCTAATAGACGTGCAACAAGGAAAATTAAATCTAAGACTAAATGACAAAGAAATAGTGTTTGATGTCCATAAAGCGATGAAAAATCCTATTGCATTTTATATTGAATCTTGTTTTCACTCTGATAATTTTGGTAAGATTGTAGGTGATCACAAAGAAGAACTTTTGCGGAAGGACTCTTTCGAGAGATGTCTAATAGAGTCAAGTATGGTGTGCTGTCGTAAGCAACCAAGATTAAAAACCTTCCTAACCTAACTACTAAATTGTAAATAGGGTAAGCAAGGGTCGATCCCACGAAGAGTGTCTAGCCGAATTTTCTATGATGTGAATAAGGCTGGGGGGTTTTGAGTAAAACAGAAAACAATCTTAGCCAAAAACAAAAACAAAAACAATTCAATTCGAAATCAATTAATATAATGAAACTTGGTCTCCGTCAACATCCCCCATCAGAATCTTACAACTGATCATTGATGCAAAAGTAAATCAATTCTTACTTTGAATATTCACCATTGGAACTATTTTCCTAT